GCAGGACTTCTCAGAGGCTGACCCTGCAGTAGAGAATGTTCCACCCCCAGGCCTTGCCTCCTCGACGCCCCCAGCCTGCAGGCAAAGCACCCTGGCAGGTGGGGAGGGAGGGAGGGGGAGAGCCAGCTTGATCACTTGCCTGTGAAAGGCACTGCACCTTCATGGGGCTCTAACCCAAGGCATGGAGGTGGGGGCATGATTTTAAAAATTTATTTGATTATTAAAGATAGTGATAAAGGAGAATCATTGTGGTAAAAAAAGAAACACAGAGAGAGGACAGATGGCGGAGAGGTGGGATCTGCAGGACCTGATACATTATGTTTACTATAAAATTGTTATGAACTATGTTCTGACTTAATATGAGAGCTCCCTTCAAGAAGACGGTGGCGCAGTCCTAACCCTTTGCCTTCCCACGAGGCGAGGTGCTGGTTAAGTCAGCATCCTTCTTCACACCCGCCCCCTCCCCACATTCTAGGTTTTCATTTGGCCACACACCATTCTCTCACAGGTTGTACGATTTGAAAGGCAGCCAGTCATCTCACCTGCCTTGTCATAGGGAGCTCTGCCCACTGTCCCCCAGCCCAGAAGCCACTGTGAGCATGGATACCCACTGGCCACAGGAGATGGTTTAAGAATAGTCATTTGACCTGATTTTGACCAATGAATTATGAGGAGAGGTTTTATGACTGCTCCTGGGAAAGGGGCTTCCTTGCTTATTGGAGAGATCTGTCATTTGGGACAGGGTGGAGTTTGAATGTGAAATTAGCTTTGGTGCCGCCATTCTGTCACCATGAGGGAAGCCAGCTTTAGGAGGAAGTGACCCACAGAAGGGAGCAGGGACACTACGTTTCGAGGACACCCTTGAGCCACAGACTCAAGCCTGCCCCGAAGCCTGCCCCAAGTCTGGCCTCACCAGCTGTGTGAGGAAGCAAGTTCCCTTGACAGTGAAGGTGACTGTAAGGTGATTTTCCTTTGCTTGCCCTCTACAGTGGCATAAGTCATGGCTCTTGGGGCAGAGTCAGAAATACAGCTCACTTTGGCTTCAGGTCTGGAGGCTGGAGGCCATCTGCTTTGGTGGCACTGTCAGGGATCGCCGGCTCTGGGATGCAGGCACCTGCCCAACAGCTCCACAGCCAGGCAGGAAGGGAGCAACCCTCTGGCCGTTGCCTTTCATTGACGTGGTCACTGCAGACAACTGCAAGGACTGTGCACCCTGGAAGGAGTGGGGGTCACCAACCCGAACCTCGTGGTATCAGGAGAGGAAGGGGTGCCTGCTAAAGAAAACTGGAGTGCCATAACTCAGAGCAGGGACAAAGGATGCCTGACAGACCAATGCTTCCCCCTGTCTCCAGATCATTTTAGTCATTGAAATTATGTCACAGGAGAATCTGGGACATTTGCAATTCTGCCTTCACTGGAAAGTTGGGCGAGTTCTGCCACCTTCCCTTGCTGTGACTTTGATCTGAAGATAGCCTGAAAGTTGTGAGAGTCACAGTGGAGTCCTTGTGTCAAACACAAAATGAGTAAAGGAAGCAGGCGGCTGAGAAGGGAGGGCCCTCAGCACGCATACCTTTAAGGATAACTATTGCAAAGACCCCCTCGAAGGGCTTTTGCCCACATATGCCTGTTATAAAAACTTTTGCCAAGGACTTTCCAAACAGCAGCTTGCTGCACAAGTTACAAGAACAGCTTGTTGAACAGCTAGCCCAATGCCCAAGAACACTTGCCTGACACATGCCGCTAGGAGGGACTGTCCTCAACCCCTGTGGTAAGCTCCTGTGGCAAGTGTCTTTGTTTCAAAATAAATTATGTAGCGACAATGCACTGTTTCTTTTTGCCTTTAAAAGCTCCCTCTTGCCTTAACCTCTTTGGGTATGCCTGTGTGTCCCCATAGCATGAATGTCCCAGGTCACAATCCTCTGCTACTCCCAAATAAACTCAGTACACCTTAGACAGGCTCTCTCCATTTGTATTTAGGTTGACAATGGCAATACATTTGCTCCTTTTGGTGGAGACTCTCTGACTGGTTTTAAAAAGAAAATTCTACCTATATAAGGGACCAGGGTCTCGGTAAAGAGACTAGAGGCCACTGACACCCATTCCTCAAGGATGGCTGCAATTCGGAGGGAGGTGAGCCCATTTTCAGTTGACACTAGTCTAACCATGTTGAGATCATAAAACTCAGAGCTTCTCCTGGGTACCTGCTGTTCAGCCAGAGGAGGGCAACTGTCTGCCCCCTTCTCTCCCTGCAAGACAGGTGGGACTCTCCTGCACCTCCTCTCAGTGTGTGTCTTTTGTTGACTGCTATGTGGAGCTTTGCTCTGTTAAGCTCCCTTCAGGGCCTCTTCTTTGCATTCTTTTCATTATAGCATCAGACTGACAGCGTGTCCCCTCTTTCCTCCCTGCACACCTGGGGTTTTGCAGTGCCTTCATTCCAGTGGTGGAGAAGGGTCCTGAACATGACGATGGCTGCAAGTAAATGGTGACTGCTTTGCCAGGCAATGGAGAGAGATCAGCATACCTTCCTAACAGTGCCTTAGGGAACAGGTGCAAATCTGCATCCTGACACTGTCTGTGGACTTGGTGTGGCAGACTTCACTGTAGAGACCCCAGGCCTCAGCTTGCTCTCCCACTCCCTCCCGGGAGCCATGAGGGAATAGTTGGCTTAACCTCTTTGTGGCCCTTCAGAGATCCCAGGCCATGACGTCCAGGTTGTAGCTGGCTCTTGAGGTGATTGCTGTGTCCATCTTTCTACCTCCCACATAACTGTAAATGAAGAAGTAAGTGGACAAGTGACTCTGAAGTTCCAGCAGGGGACCCTGGCTCCTGAGCACGTTGCCTACCTCATGTGAGTGGATTGGTTGTTGAAGATGATGAGTTTCTTGGTCTACTTTCTGTTGCTATAACAGAATGTATGAGAGGAGGTAATTTATGAAGAACAGAAGTTTATTTGGCTCACAGTTCTGGATCCTGGGAGTTTCAAGGGCATGGAGCCAGCACCTGGCAGGGGCTTTTTCACTGTGTTATAACACTGGGAGGTGGGGCAAGTGTGAAGCTACAGTCTCTCTCCTCTCCTCACAAAGCCATGAATGCCACCCGGCCCCCACCTAACATTCTCTAATCCCAAAGTTCCTCCCTCCAAATGCCTTTATGGAAAATTATGACATATGTTTTTGGGGATTAAGTTTCCAACACAGAAACTTCGGGGGATATGTCTGAACCACAGCAATGAGTTTGCTCTATGGACAGCAGCAGAATTTGTGTATAGTCTTATTCCATCAAGACGTCCTTTGAGTAACTGTCACATTTACAGTACAACCGGCAACAAGGAGCGCACTCACCAGCAGACTTGGCTACCCCATGAGCAGAGCAGAGCTTCAGGCAGGAGCTGAGGCCTGGCTCTAGCCATGGACCCTAGGACCAGGTGTCCCTCCGACACATTAACTGGTGTGCCACACATCCACTTCTGGCTGTTTTTGTTTATTTTTTGGTACAGGGGATTGCACCCAGGGGTGCTTCACCACTGATCTCCATCCCCAGACCTCTCTATTTTATTAAGTTGTGGAGGCTGGCCTGGAACTTGTGAACCTCCTGCCGCAAGCCTCTTGAGTTGCTGGGATTCCAAACAAAACCAAGCAAAAATTAAAATACAAACCAAAACCCCTCTCCTTGTTTCAAGGATCAGCCTCCTTTCTGAATCCAACATTGCCCTGGAGGTAAGGACCTGTGTGATGCCCTGGACTGATCAGGAGCTGCCCCTGCGGCTGGCCGTGGAGCCATGTCAGCATGTCAGGGGAGCAAGTGTCCCCAGCAGTATGTGCAGTGACGAACCTCTGCCCACTGAAGAAATATTTTTTGCGCTGTTGACGGTTTGTATTTCTGTTGTAGGAGACTGTGTCGTACGCAGCTTCTACTGGCTTTGTCATATTTTCCCCTGTGCTTCCTGCCTGCTCCCTTCCAATCCTTTCTATCATCTCCCTACACCCCATTCCTCCTTCCAGGGGACTTCCTCTTTCTGCCCATGACATCTCATTTTTGTTTTCTTTTTCTTTTTTTTTTCATTGTGGAGGATTGAACCCAGTGCCTCCTGTGGGCTAGGCAAACCTCGAACCACGGAGCTACATTTCCAGCCCTTTTAAAATTCTGTTTGGGGCAGCATCTCATGAAGTTGCACCGGCTGCCTGGACCTTGTGAGCCCCCTGCCTCAGCCTGAGTAGCTGAGATCATAGGTGTTGCAGGCAGGGCCACCGCAGCAGGCCAGAACTTCACGTCTTAGAATGTCATTGTGCTGAGTGCTTTGATTCTCACTTTGCTCTCTGGCTACCCCTGCAGCTCATCCTGACAGGACCAGGTAAAAGTAGCTGCTAGACCAAAGGCTTAGAAACCACAGAAATCAACCTCGCCCTCCACCAGAGGCAGCCACAGCCCTGGGCACTGATGACTTACTGAGAGTGTGTAAAATTTTCTCTGTGTCACACTGAATGGGCACCCACCTCTCACTCCTCTGTCTCCCATGCAATGTCTGAGCCCTCTGAGGACAGAAACGGCCCAACTTGAGTTCCTAGTGCTCAGCATGGTTCAGGAGTTCAGTGAGAGCTCAAGAATGGCGCAGGAGAACAGGATGGGTCCAGCAAGGAAGGCTGGGAGGGGACCTCCCTTCTTCCACGTGCTCCGGAGGGCCAGGAACTCTGGGCACAGGGCTGTGGGCTGGAAGTGCCTCCTGTGGGCATCCTTCCCAGGTAGACCTCTTTTCTTTCCCTTCCTGCTCTCTCTCCGGTCTCTTCTCCTGCTGCCCTTGTAGACTTTGGCAGTTAACGAGTATACAGCTCCCTGGTTGAGTCTTTTCACAACTGAAATTAAACCACAGGCCTTAGAAACCCTCCTTCGCGTTTTCTCAGCCACCCTTGCCGTCTTTGACAGTCACCACAAGGTGATTCAGCAGTTTCTGTTTCTGTTCTCAGTTCTCTGGGCCTGTGCCTGTGGCTCACGGGGTGGGCTGGGGCTGGGTAGGAGGCTCTGGGACAGGAGGTTGAGTTCTGGTGGTGGCTGTGGTGTTACTAGAAGGCAGATGACTTCTTTGCTCTCTGCTTTTGGGGAATCGTTCTTCATAGCCACCTTTAATTTGCACCTCACTTTGTGATGGAGACTTTTCCCACTGTTTGGTGCTGGTTTGGACCCAGGGCCTCTGCACAGCATGTGCTCCACCACTGAGCTACACTCCCAGCCCTGGAACATCCTCGATTCTTGCTGTTGTCAATAAGAAGAGATTGATGTGGGAGTTATCATGGGCTGATTTGGAGGAATCACCTGAAGCAAAATTGCAAAAGGTACCAGGCAAAAGGGGCAGATTATTAGAGCAAGGTCGTGCCAGGAATCAGGTTGATCTGGGAGTTTTTCTTAATGTTTCACTTCAGAACTTTAGAACACCTTGATGTCTGGAATCACAGGTGGCCAAGGGCTAGGCACCAAGGGTGTTCCTTGTCACGAGAGCATTTAAAGTTGGTGCCTGAAGGTTTGTTTTCCACTAGTCCAAAATTGATTTTTTTTGCTTAGATTTTTAGAAACCAAATGAACATGGTTTTTAAGGGTTTCTAGTTTTTTTTTTTTTTAATTTTAATGCACAAAGTTCTTTTTGTTGTTGCTGTTGTGTCTTCTAAAATGGACTTTTTTTAGTTTTTAATTTATGGAAAAGTTGCGAAGATAGTTCTGGGAGTTTCCATGTACCTCTCTCCTTTCGTTAACATCTTACATAAGCCCCAGACCATTCGTCAGAAGTAAGAGTGCAGAACTGATCCGATACTACTAATCAACCTCCAGACTTTATGGGTTTCCCTCTTCCTGTCCAGCATCCCACTCAGAACATCAGCTGTGCTGTTGTCACCTCCTCTTTGGTCCTCTGGTTTGTGACAGCTCGTCACTCTTGTCATGCTCTTCATGACTTGATTCTTCTGAAGGTCAAGTATTTTCTTGGCTGTCCCTCATTTGGGTTGTTTTTGTTTTCCTTATGTCTAAGACTGGCATTGTGAGTTTGGGAAGAAGACCAAGAGGGGAAGTGTCCTCTGGTCCCCCATGGTCTATCACCTACCTGGCTGGTCAGCTGTGAGGTTAACCTGGGTCACTGGGCTATGGTGGTGCTTGTCAGGTTTCTCCATTGTAAAGTTACAACCCCCTTCAGGAGGCTCTTAGTCTATTTTATGTTGCTATTAATGCTGTGGACTGGGATATTTATACAGAAAATAAATCTATTTCTCATGTTTGGAGGTTGGGAGGTCCAGGATGGAGGGGCTGCATCTGTTGGTGGGGACTCTATGGAGTCCCAGAACATTGACGGGAGAGACAGAGTAGCTGTGCTGCTGTGGTTTGGATATGGCCCGAGTGTCTCCTGGGTCCATGTGTTGGAGGCCAGGTCCCCAGGTTGGTGATATTGGGAGCCGCTGTAGAACACTGAAGATGTGCGGCCTAGTGGGAAGTTCTTAGGTCACTTGCTGCCCTCACAATGGGATTAAGAAGGTCCTCATGCAACCTCTTGGTAGTTCTCCAGAGAGGTTTGTTGTAAGGCCTGAGTCTGGCCCCACCCAGCCAGTACATCTCGTTCCAGATGTGATTGCTTGCTGCCACCCCTGCAGTCTGCCACGAGATGACCCATGGAGGGGAAAGCAGGAGGTGGGTAGGTGTCAGAGTCTATGCTATGCTGGCTGGAATTTGAGCCCCCAAAACTGTGAGCAAAATAAACTTTTTTTCTTCATAAATAGGTAGCCTCAGGTGTTTCATTATAGTGACAAAAAACTGACTAATATACTTGCTAGCTTGGAAGTATATTATATTTACAAAGTCCCTAATGCAATCATGAGAGTCCCTCTCTTTTAACCTCATCTAATCCTAATTACCTCCAAATGCCATTAACATATAACTTTGGGGATTCAGTTTATAGCACATGAATTCTGGGGACACATGCAAACCATAGCAGGAAGCAGGTCACTAAGTATGACAAGAGGACGGGTGGGGGAAGTCACCCTCCCTCAACTGGCTCTGTGTCCTTTGATGTGCCACGTTTGGTCATTAGTTGAACATTCCTCACTTTCTGGAACTGTTAGGTACTCCAGACCTAGCTTGCGTTGTCCTGTCCTTGCCAAAGAATCGGAGCCCCTGGTTCCTTTTAGTTGGAAATTGCATTTAGAAACCAAGATCTGGATGCAGAGGCGTCTCTTACATAACAAAATAACGGCCCTACCGTAATTCCCCTTCTGGTCATCTACTTTTCCCCAGTGCTTTATATTAAAGCATTTTAAACATACCGTTAAACTGCAAGACTGACATTCAACATCCACATATCCGACTAAGGTTCTGCCACCAACATGCTACTCTACTGGACCTGTCACACATGTACACTTCCTCCTAGACAATTCAGCATGTGTATCTTTTATGAGACTTCAATATGCGTTCAGATCTTTTTATTTGTTGAGAAATTTCATATAATGAAATGACAAAAATCTCATTCTCAGATTTTTGACAAGTGCAGATGTATGGAATCTAAATCCATATGAAAATAAGCCCACTACCATGACCTAGAAAGTTCCCTCATACCCTTCCCAGTGCATCCCCGCCTCCAGCCCCCTGGGGCACCCACCCTGGTGTGTTTTTATTCTACCACAATAGGTTAGTTTTGTCTGTTTTGAGTTTTGCAGTAACTGGAATCACACACAGTTAGTTCACTTGATGTGTTTTTTGTGACATATTAATTCAATTGGACTCTAAACAGCAATGAAAATGAATGCAGTACAGATGTTAGAGATGACTCTCATTGGTCATGTGTTGTGAAAGAAGCCATCCACAAAATAACACAGAGTGGATAATCCCATTTTTTAATATTCGAAAGAAGTAAAAAATAATTTATGGAGTTGCAAACCAAGGACAGTGGTCAGTACTGGGGAAAACCATAGAGGCTGCGGGATCTAAGAGGATGTTCTGGGCTGGTTGGTGCTGGAAAAGCCCTTCCTTGGCATGGTTGGGGGTCACAGTGGGTCTGCTTTTTGGTAATTCCCTGGGCTGGAGCTTTATAACGCATGCCTTCATTCTTGGTGAATCATATTTTATTAAAGAAGTTTTAAAAATAAGATAGTAGCTCCTGCCCATCAGTTTTGTATGTGTGCATGACAGTGAAGCGTGCATTATTTATCTATTGCCATATAACAGATTACTTCAGGATTTAGGAGCCCAAGAAGCAACACATACTGCCTAACACAGTGTGTGGGTCAGGAATTCCAGCATCTGGGTAGCTCCTGCACAGGTTGCATTTAGGACTGGAGGATCCTCTGGTAACATGGCTGTTGGCTGGAGTCCTTTCTCCCCATGGGCCTTCTTCACGAGCCTGCTTGAGTGTCCTCACATCATGGCAACTGGCTTCTTCTAGTAAGTGACTCAAGAAAGCTCTGAATAACGTTTTCTAGTTTAATATAGGGTACCCGTGTGTCTGAGCACATTGTTTTATTGCTAAATCTGTTTGGTGAATAGACTGCAGTTCATTGATGATCTATCTTGTTCTCCTGCTGGTGGACACCTGAGCGGTTTCCAGTTTTTTAAAGTATGTTTTTTAAAAAAATACATTTTATTTATTTTTTTATTTATCTTTATGTGGTGCTGAGGATTGAACCCAGGGCCTTGCACGTGCGAGGCGAGTGCTCTACTGCTGAGCCACAACCCCAGCCCCCGGAACTTTTTAAAATAAAGTGGATATAAGCATTCTTCTATAAGAATTTTTATACCCTCTCTTAAGTAAATACCTAGGATTGTAATTGTTGGATCACAGAGTAGTGTTATGAAACCTGTTGGATCTCTTTCCAAAGTGGTTGCGCCATTTTACATTTTCTTGACAAGGTATGAGAGTTCGCAGTGTTCCACATCCGTGCCAAAATTTGATGTTGTCACTTTTAAAAAATAAGTTTTGCCATTCAGGATGGGTGTGTGCTGGTACTTCATGGTGGCTTTAACTTGCATTTCCATGTGCCTGGTTGTGTTCAGTACTTTCTTGTGTGCTTGGTGGCCATTTGTATACTCTTTTTTTGTGAAGCATCTTTTCAATCTTTTGGAGCACCCTCCCCCACCCCACCCTGTGTATGTGTGTAGTTCTGTGGAATTTTATCCCCTGTGTAGTTTTGCATAATCATCATGATCAGGGTCAATGGCACCATGGAGAATCTTCCTTGTGCTTCTCCTGCAGAGTTAGACCCCTCCACAGTCACCCCCTGGCAGCCACTGATAAGTTGTACATTACTATAATTTTGTCATTGTGAGAATGTTATAAAGTTGCAATCATATAGTATGTAATTTTTTTGTGTGGTAGGATTTTTTACACTCAGCATGATGGCCTTGAGGGTCATCCACGTGTCACTAGTTCATTTCTTTGTGCTGCATTGTCTGAGGTACCACAGTGTGTGGGTTCATTCTGGCTTACAGGATATCTGGATTGTTTTCAGTTCTGGGATGACTGCAAATAAAGCTGCTGTAAATATTTATGTTTAGGTTTCTTTTCTTTCCTTTTTTGTTGGAAATAAAATGTTTCATTTCTCTTGAGTGAGGGCATTGGCTTGTATGAAAAGTGTAAGTTGAACTTCATAGGAAACTGTCAAATTTTTCTGAGTGTCTGTGTCATATTACGTTCCCATCATCAGCAAATGAGAGATCCAGTTGCTTGCATCCTCATTAACCCTTGGTGTGGCATTTTTCTCTTGGCCACTTTAAGTGGCATGTATGATTGGACTCCTTTTTAACATGGTGCCGTGTGGCATGGCCCTGGTTCAGGGAGTCAGGTCACCTCGTGTCTTTTATGCTAGATGCCCATTGCCCACACCTCTCTGAGGGAAGGCAAAACTGGTACTTTGGCTTCAGTGCTTGCTGGTGTCTTGCTTTAGTGCAGAGACCCTCAAACTTGTTCTTAGTAATGAGATTGTTTTTGTCAAGAAGAATCCTGAACAAAACAGCAGTGGCTAAGTCAGTGGTGGTGGATCTGCTGTGGGTAGCCGTGGGCCCTCCTGTGCATCACCATGTCCCCATAGTTGTGCCCAAGATGTCCCCTGGCATGGAAGCCTGGACACTTGATCCTGGAACTAATATCATTAATCCTGGGACTTCACAAGTTGTCACTTAATTCTGTGGGTCCTCTGTAAACTGAGGCACGGGGATGGTATTTGCCATATTTCCATCTTCTACATATATTCTCTCAAGGAAAGAGAAATTATAGATATGAAATACCCAAATTATTAAGTATTATTTGTATGTCATTGTTATACAAATAGTATCTAAAATAATCACCCAAGGTTGCTGGGTGTGGAGGTTCATATTTAAAGACAGAAATCAAATAATCAAATATACATGTTGCTTAGTCATTCAGAGCTCTTGGGAGTTTTGCTGAAACTCTTATTTTTTTCCACTGCAGAGATTGATATCCCTTTTCTTGGAAAGTTTTAGAACTTTAGATATTTAGAAATTTAGAAATGTTCACGTTTTCAGGAAGAGTTTCTGAGAGACTTTTTCATATTTAATTTCTTGGTCCTGGTGTCTGTTCAAATGAAGAACAATCCCCCTCTAGTGGTTGATTTTAACTGTACAATTTTAAACACATTTCAAGCTCATTTTTTTTGAATAGGTATTATTTTAACAGGGTTCAAAGTTAGAAGTGTAAAAAGGTAGACTACTTTTCCCTATCTGCCCGATTTCCTCATTTCCATTCCATGTACACAAAAGGCAAACACCATTATTCATTCCTGGTGTGTCTCTAAAGAAAAATTTAAAACATACATGTAAGTAAATATATATACACACACACACCCACACACACACAAAGTGTTTTTTTTTTGAAATATAGTGTACCAGTAAAAAAATTATATATTTAATTGTTTTTACCTTTGTTTTCATTTAAAAACACTCGTCTTGGCAATTTTCTCATATTGGTATGTAAAGAGATTTTTTTCTTTTTACTTGTCATTACAAGGATTTTTTACATTTTATTCATTCACTACTGTATTAATGGACTTTTAAGCATTCACGTGTTGTGCTATTGCAAATAATTATTTATGTCCAAATAACATTATGCTCATCCCTAGGACAGCATTTGGGAGTTGGGGTGGAAAGGATAAATCTGTAATTAAAGTGCCTCAGTGTCTCTGTTGAGAAACTTATTTAACGCACAGAACTTGGCTGTGAGTGGTGGAGATGTTTAATAATAATGAAGTTTTCTTGAGATCTGTTTCTCTTACAGTTTTAAAATATTTTCTTTGAATTTTAAAATAATACTAAATATAGTTTTTAATACTTTTCAATATGATTTTTTGATCCCTTGGCCAGTGTGTGTATCTGCACATTAATGATCAGACCCTATGTCTTACTTTTCTGCATGGATTAACAGAATTATTACTAGGATTTGACCCGTATGAAAAGTTTGGTTTTATTATGAGCAAGAAGCTTAACAATGTGAGAATAAATGTGAATTTGGTGTTTTAAAACAGGTGAATAACACCATGCCACATTAGAGCTACTGACTGGGAAATACAGAGGACGTAGCTAAGGATTTATATTTCAGAATCTTGCCTATGACACAGTTCCTAGAGGCTCTTCTCTCTAGTCCTCACAGGCTGGCATTTCTCTTGATTCTCATTCCTCTTGTTGCTTACAGAATGCACAGGTAACAAGGAGTGCAGATTGCATATGTGAAAAGGCTCCAGCTTCTGTTATTCTACAGCTCGGTACAGTTGTAATTCTACAGCTTACACAAGCTCCTTACATGTGTGAGGCCACTTTGGGTGGTAAGTTCCTGGAGGAGGAATTGCTGAGTCAAAGGCAGGTTCTTCTGTAACTTGGATGACAGTAGTGTCTAGTTGCCACACATACAGGGACGGTGCCGCTCTATACTCTCACCCCTCTCCCTCCCTCCCCAGGTTGGCACAAGAGGGCACTCCCTCCCCACATCCTGGTGACATGGTGTGTTAGCAGATTGTCTGCATTTTGTTCATGTGACAAGTGAAAATTAACAGCTCGGTACAGTTGTAAATTGTGCTTCTCTTATTGCATAAAAGAGCAGGGATTTAAATATGGAGATATATATATATAATATATATATGTATATATACACACACATACAGTTTGGGTTTTCTATTTTGTGGATCATCTGTTCAAATCATTTGTTCACTTAGTGGTCTGTTTTTAATGAATCATAGAAAGTCTTTGATTAGAAAAATGGGCCCCTTTGCAATGACATCAGTATCTTTTTTTTTTTTTTTTCTCAGTTTGTCATTTGTCTTGACTGTTCTTCTGGTATGTTTGTCATTCGTAAAATTTCTGTTATTAGTCAAACTTAACCATCTTTTCTTTGTGGCTTACAAACATTGTGCCACATTTAGAAAGGACTTTTGGATTAAGTTATAAAGTAATTCTTCATGTTGTATTTTAACACTTAGTGGTTTAAGTGTAAGTCATTGATCTATTTGGAATTTATTCTGACATTTGATGTGAAATAGGAATCTGACTTTCTTTTTTTTTCCAGTTGGCTACCCAAATGGAACATCTCAATAATGTTTTGTTTGTCCATGATTTGATTTACCAGATTTATGTTGCACATAGTAAGTTTCATATATTTTTACTTCTGTTTCTCAACGTTTGAATCATATTCCATTGGACTATCTGCCTATTTCTTCACCATTTGAATTTCTGAGAACTTACCACATGTCTAATTATCTGATAGAAATCATAGCTCCTTGGTTTTGGAGTTTTCTTGATTATTTTTGTTTCTTTTTTATACGTGATTTTAAATTCCTTATTGACATCTTAATTTGGATCATCTTCAATGTATAGGGTGACTTAGGAAGAATTTATTTCTTTATGATATTGTTTTTAAAAAAAGTGGTGCACATTCCTATTTGTTTGAGTTTTCTCTTGTGTCCTTCAGCATAATTTGAAAGTTTTCTTTATGTAAGTTCTGTAAGTTTTAATTTTATTCTTAGGTATGTATTCTTTTGTTTTGTTACTTTGGGAAGTGGGGTCTTTTCTTTCCTGTATTTTTCTAACTGCTTGCTTAGATATCTAAATGAATGTTGTTGGTTTCTCTGGTTGATTGTGTATCCTGCCAGCCCTTCTTGTCTGTAGTGGGTTTTAGTTGGTTGTTTAGGGGGATTCTGGGTATACAAGCATATTATTTCGGTTAGCCAAGATGCAAAATTTAGAGGCTTAAAACAACTGCTGTTTGTTTTTTTCTTATATCAGTTACGCATGTGTGGGTGACTGGGAGGATCTGCTGGTTTTTACTGGGCTCACTCACGCGTGGCAGTCAACTGCAGGTCGTGTGGGCAGCTCCGTTGACCTTGCTGGACTCTTTCTCATGGTTAGGGCTGCCTAATGATAGGCAGGCTGGTCTAGATCACCTTGACTGGGACAAGTCAGCTCTTCTCATGTGTTTTGTACTTATGACCCCAGCCCTTTTCCCCTAGGCTAGCCTGGACATGTTCTTAGATCATCTTAAGCATATTTTCCTGAGTATTGAGCAGGAGCTAGAGAGGAATAGAAAAACACAAGCACTTTTCCAAGCTTTTGCTTCTTTCAAGTCTACCCATATTTTAGTCACCCAAGAAAGTTACAAGTCCAAGTGCAGATTCAAGGGCTGGGGACACAGACTGTGCCTCTTCTATAAGAACTACAGTGTCCAAGGGCAGGAATCAAGGGAAAGCACTGGGGACGAGGGAAACAGAGGGTAGAGAACAGGCACAGCACAAGCAATTTTTAGGGTGAAACAATTTCTGGTTTTGTGGTTCTCATAGTTTCCATTAGAAGAATCTGATAGAAGAGCAGCAGATTGGAACAAGATTCTTTATTCTTATGCTTGAGCATAAGGCAGGCAGCCCATGGGGGACAGAAATCCCAGGCTTCCTCAAACAGAGGACAAAGGTGGGCAGGATGTGGCCTCCTGACGTCATCACATGTACAGGTGGGTTGTTGGTGCATCTGCGCTCTTCTTCTTCTTGCTGCAGGTGTCTTGTTACCATCTTAAGTCTCCACCTGGGGGTGTGATCAGTACTGTGCCAATACAGTAAAGGTGACTGCAGGCTACGACAGTGACTCCTGTTTGTGTGTGTTTGCTCACACCACCTGGAACCTGCCTCTTATCTTCTAGGAGAGTCCCTAGTGTCTATTTCAGAAGGCACATACACTATTGTCCTGTATCAGTGGATTTAAAGTTTAACGACTTTGTTTTCCATGGTTCTGGCCTCTTGGGATCTCTGCTGACCACATGGTCTTTGCAGGCTGAGCTGGCATCCCAACCTATCACCTCCAGGTATGTTATCTTAATTTCATGGCTTTGAAGACTGGTTCATTTTATTATTATTATTATTATTATTATTATTATCATTATTATTATTATTATTAACTCCTGATTTTCTGGTTAACCCCATAAGACCAAGGCTGTCTCATTTTCTCCTGAGAGGTTTCACTCCTTTAACCTCAAGCTTCCTGTTTTTCAGGGGGGGTTCCCAACCCTTTCAAAATAACTCTCATGATATCATAATTGGGGATGCAGGTCAATAGAAATGTTTCCAAACCTCTAGAATGCATAAGAATAAACTCTAATATAAATCCTGAATTTGGGTTGACAATGATGTGTCGATGTGCATTCCTCCTCGTAACAAATGTGCCACTCTGGTGCAGGAGAGTGGTAATGGGGGAGGTTATGTATATGTGGGAGTAGGGAATATGTGGGAATATGTCTTTTCTGCTCACCTTTGTTGTGACTAAAAGATAGTCTATTTTTAAAAACATCACGAGAATTCTTTTTTCCTTTAAATATTTACTTTTTATTTGTAATTGAACACAATATCTCTATTTTATTTATTTATGTGGTGCTGAGGATCGAACCCAGGGCCTCTCATGTGCAAGGTGAACGCTCTACTGCTGAGCCACAACCCCTGCCCCATGAGAATTCTTATCTACTATATTTGCCTTTGTTCTTACCCATTCTTGTATTTTTTCCTTTCTGAAGGTCCCAGCCTTCTTCTGTTACATTTCCTTTTTGTTTAGAGAACTATCTTTCATCATTTTTAAGGGTAAGTTTTGCTAGAAAAATTGCTAGTGAAATGATTTTCATTGGTCTGAGAATGTCTTTATTATGCTTTGCCATTCCTGAAAGATATTCTTGCTGGATAAACCAGTGCTCTTGGCAGTTTTTTTGCTCCAAGTACTAGAAAAGGGTCATGCCACTTCCTTTAGTTTTCCAATGAGAAATCCATTTCAGTTGGTATTTCCTGCAGATAATGCATCATTTCTCTTTAGCTGCCTTCAAGATCTATTTGTTGTCTTAGTTTTCATAATTTGTTTGTGTTGTGTCTTGGCATGGGTTTCTTGCAAATGTATGCAATTAATTGTTTATCCAGTTTCCAGAATCTGTAGGTTCATAATATTTTCTTCTGAACTTGGAAGTATTTTTTATAAATATATTTTCAGTTTTGATGGACCTTTATTTTACTTATTTATTTATACGCAGTGCTGAGAATAGAACCCAATATCTCACACACGCTAGGCAAGTGCTCTACCACTAAGCCACAACCCCAGCCCTACTTGGAAGTGTTTTTGCATTATATTTTATAATACTTTTCCAGTCCTACCCTCACTTCTCTCTCTCTCTCTCTCTCTCTCTCTCTCTCTCTCTCTCTCTCTCTCTTTGTAGTTGTAGATGCCATGTTTTATTTGTTTATTTTTATTTGGTGCTAAGGATCGAAACCAGTGCCTTACACATGCTAGGCAAGAGCTCTGCACTGAGCTACAGCCCCAGCAGCACTTTTTTTCTCTTTTTGAAATCTTGAAAATACAGATAGATATTGGCTCTGTTGTTTCTGAGAAATATTTGTCTTATTTTTTAGTCCATATTCTCTTTGTTGCTCAAATAAGATAAATTCTACTGATCTGCATCTTAGGCTCTTCAGACTGCTATAACAAAATGTTTTAGAATGGGAAGCTTGTAAAAGACATAAATTTCTTTCTCATAGTTCTGGAGGCTAGAAATCCAAGATCAAGGTGCTGGCAGACCTCGTACCTGCTGAGGTCTATCCCTCACAGTCCCTTCTCAGTAAGTGCTTACATGACAGCTCTCTGGGGCTTCCTTCCAAAGTGCATGTGGGCCATTCAGGGAGGCTGTACCCACATGATCTAATCACTCCCCCAAAGCCCTACCTTCTAATATCATCACCTTAGTGATTAGGATTCAACAAATGAATTTGGAGAGAACATAAATATTAACACCAGAACAACCTATTATCAAGTTCAATAATTTATTCTCTATTACCTACACCCCACTATTAAGTTCATCAGTGAAATTTTTAATTTGGGTTACCATACTTTTGGGTTCTACAATTTCCATTTTTAAATAACTTGTGTTTTTTTCCAGAGACATAGAGATTTTTTTTTTTTTTTTTTTTTTTTAGGGAAGCAGGGGCACACTCAAGGGAGAATGTGGGCTATCTTAGGAGTGAAGCTTCTGGGGTAAAACAGGGAACACATATTTATGGGAGAATGTGGACTAAGGGATAGACAGCCATATATATATATATATTTTTTGATGTGATTTTTTTCCTATTTGTTTCAAGAGATTTTGTGATTGCTTACTGAATCACTGTTAAGATGGTTGTCTGAGAATCTTGGTCAGAATATTCGAATGTCTAATTATTCTCAGTATGAGCATAACACAATTAGAGCCAGGACTCACACTGGAGTGAGGTTCTTCCAGGCTTGGAGTCTGCTTTGGATGGAAACATTTTAGATGGCAGAGATGGGACATCTCCTCCCTGGTGAATTTAGGTTCACTGAAAAGTAGACATCCAGGTGTGCGAGAGACTTATGGGGGAAAACACTTGTGGGGGGTGAAGGGGAGGGACTGGATGGGTGGGGCGAGGCTCCAGGTCACAGGCAGCAGAGTGGTGACTGTGAAGGGAGTGACAGGGACCAGGTGGAGCTGGGACAGCCTCAGTACAGCACAGCCCAAACCTTTACCACCGTTATGACGAGGTCTCCCTGGACCAGCGGGGGTCCTGAGCAGGGCTTGCCTGCAGGGCAGAGGTGGATGACTGAGAGCATCGCCCCATGGTCATCTGGGAGCAGCAGGCAAGAGGAGCCTCAGGGGTACTCTGGAGTTAGTTCCAAGGTGTGGCGGTCGAGGAGGGTCTTTCCAAGTCTGCCCTGAGCAACTTTCCTCATGGCAACCACAGCAGGTCACCCACATCCCCATCTCCACAAACGCTGCTCTTGGGCCATCACAGACCTATCACGTGTCTGAAATCTTTACAGGCCTGCAGAGGGGAGGAGCTGCAGACTTATTTTGAGATGGTCATGTCAGAAAATGCTCCCTTTTCCCTTTCCAGTTGATGCCATTTGCTGACTCTACAATCTGCATCACACACACAGTGTACACAGCGACAAACAGGGGATACTGCAGGCTCTGCTCAGCCATGCCATGTCCTAACCCCCGTGGTTTCTGTTCTGCATAGGTATGGTTTGAGTCTGGATGAGATGAGAGCTCTGACAGTTCAGAGAGTGAAGTTTATCCTGGGTCATCCACTGTTGAAACGTGCATTTCAGGAACAGGTGAGTGTCCTTGTTACTTTTATGTGGTGGTGTGGCGTGCGCGCCTGTGTGTGTGTGTGTGTGTGTGTGTGTGTGAAAGAGAAAGATTTCATTTGGTTTGCTTTTGCGATGTATGCAAGCCCATTTACCTTGTTCTGGGGCACGCTGACAGACCAGGCCACTGGGTAGGGGGCAACTTCTTCAGATCCCTTCTCTTCCCTGCTCCCTATGAACCTCACTGACCCCTTCCCTAGGTCCACATGTCCACTTCTTTAAGCTCACAGGCTGGGGAACAGGAGAATCAGCAGAAGTAATGAAATATTTGTTCACAAAATCCATGTCATTTTAGGCATAAAGTCTAAATAGCTGATAAATAGAAATAACTCATTTTAGAGGCTTTTAATTGGAATTGTCCAAAGTTTGTCTAAAAATTGCATTCTAAATTCAGTGATATTATTTTAGCTAATTTTAGCCTCAGAATAAAGAAAGAAGGAAAGAAGATGCTGATTGAAGGTTTCCTTTATGAGGCTGTAGGAGCCATCTATTTTAGTGAGGTTTTAAGTCCATTTCCATTTTATTCGGCTTCGGGGCTTCCTCCACATACCCCTTTTCATAAGGAGAAAGTACTGAAGCTCCTGGGGCAGCCTCTCATTGGGAGGGGCCAGAATGAGGGTGGACTGTGGTATAGGCGATGGCCGGTAGCCACCGCCATCCATCAGTGGCCCAGGCCCCTTCATGCCAGGTGGAGGGAGAGTCTGAGGATCAAGGGTGGCTCCTCCCCACTCAGGTGATCCCAGGAGACCCTTCTCTGTGGAGTGTAGATCAGAGTTGGGCGGGGGAGGGGGGTGTCTGGGATCCATCCTGAGAATAGATCCCCTGATGAGCCTGCTCTTGAAATGTCACAGCCACCTTGAGTCTGGCAAGGGACTATGGCATCACCCCAGAGGAGCGTACAAGGACTTCCACCTGGCAGAAGAGCCCCCCACATGACAGAGTGAGGCAAGCTTGCAGAGCCTAAAATGTCCTTTCACACCAAGCAGATTGGCAAAGATTTTGAAGCCACCTAATCACCTCTTGCCGGAATGTACACTTGTAGCTGTGAATGAAACCGAGACTAGAAGGAAAAATCCGGCCCTCTCTGCTTCCAGCACGTTCTCCGAGTCCAGCCTGCCCAGGCGCTGGGAGAAGGGCTGGTGGGTGAGCTCTTGGCACAAGGCCAGGCTCCTGCCTCTTTAACCAGCCCTACATGTCCGCGGCTCAAGTTCATGTCAGCGCTCAGAGCCGGGACCCCTTAATGAGGCTTGCTAATTGCTGCCCGACCTGCCGAATGTGGAAGATTAGCTTTTGTAATCCTGCCCCTGAAGCGTGTTGAGCCCTGAAGCCAATTATCCTCCTGTTTTCATGGCTCCCCTAGTGGTCTAAGCGGCTGGGATCACTTTCTGTCCTCAGTGATTGGGCACAATTCCTTGAGCAGGCGCAGGATGGGCTCTAGGTGGCCCTCCGGTCCCCTTCTGTTAGTTACCTCGCCTATTTGGCACCTTTCTCCATGCGAATTCTCAAGAGCCAGTGAACCCGAAGGAACTCAACCCGCCATCAGCACGGCAGGCTCGTCTCATCGTGAGGATGTCACAGGACTCAGCAGCACATCTGTGTTCGAAGGCTCTCAAATTCCACCCCATAAACAGCTGGAGGAGCTGTCCACATCCAGTAATTCTAGAAGTGTTCCATGATTCATCCCGCCTCTTAATAAAACCATGGAGTCATGGCTGTCCAGAGAGAGAGAGAGAGCCAGTCCCTCCCCTCTCTCCCTGGCCCCCGTTTCGAATTAATTTTTGTGGGTGAGCCGATGCGCTCCGAGGTGGAGGCGCCATGTGATGTAGGAGGATGACGTTCTCAGGCACAGATGAGGAGGGAGCTTCATTTGTTCCAGGTCTCTATGGACAGTTCACAGGCCAAGAATAAGCCATTAAAATATTTCCACTCTGTGTTCTCCCCTCTGACCATCTGTAATGGATTTGGGATGTTCCAATAATCATAAAGAGAAAAACACGTGCGCACTCAGACACGTACGCACGACACGCACGCAGCGTGAACAGCCGTTGCACTCCATCCGGCTCCTCCTGCACCTGTTTGTAGTGACCTCACCTTTGTGCACATCAGCTAAGAGCTCTCTCCTTCCCCTCAGGATTCCAGGATTGGGTCTTGGGGGCGGGGACGGGGCAGAGTTGTGATTCCCCATGTCCAGATAAGGAGATAGAGGACTAGGTTGGTTGTCCGCTTTGTGGCAGTGCTGGGGCAGGAGCTGGGACTCCTGCCTGCAGAGCCTTGTGTGGGCAGCATTCCCAGGGAAACCTGTCCCTGGAAGCTGAAAGAGGCTGAGATCTGCCTCAGTCATCACCATAACCATCATCCTGAAGCTTACTGAGCACCTACATTGTGCCAGTCGTAGTGCTAAGAGCTTTAAAGGGATGATTTCTGTGACTACACCACATCCCTCATGGTATTCCTGCTTTACAGGTAGGTAATCAGAGCTGAACATCTGGCCTGAGCTTGGTTATATAACTAGTGGGTTGTATGTGTAACTAATAGAGCTCAGGTTCAAGCCCAGGTAGTCTGCTTTCTGAGCCCACTTCGGTCTGGTGGAGTTCATCCCTGGCTGTGTGTTGGAGCCCCCTGGGGAGCTTTTGAATATCCTGTTGTATAGGCTTTTGCTCAGGCCAATCAAATCAGCATTTTCATCTGCCAGATGATCCAGTATGCATTGGGGGTTGAGTACTGCTGTGCTTTGTTTCTGTTTTAGTCAGCTTTGTGCTGCTAAGACAAACATACCTGACAAGAAAAACTGAGAGGAGGAAAAGATTCTTTTGGCTCATGGTTTCAGAGATTCAGTCCATGGTGGGCTGACTCCATACCTTTAGGCTTGAGGTGAGAAGGTTAGCAGGAGGTTGTGGTAGAGGAAGGTCACTCAGTTTGAGACAGGCAGGACGTAGAAAGAGCTTTTAGTGCAAGGGTCCAGGGATAATATAATCCCCAAGGTCATGCCCCCATTGACCTACTTCCTCCAGCCATAACCTATCTGCCTATAATCACCACCCAATAATCCTTTAATCCATCGATTAGATCACCAGTCTCATGATCTAATCATTTCACCTCTGAACATTCCTGCATAATCTCACACAGGAGCTTTTGGAGGACATGTAAACATTTCTTTCCAGTCAAGAGACCCAGTTGAGGTCAACTTGCTCTTGGCCAAGTGTAGAAAGAGTTAGGAAGTGATATGTGAACAGTGAAGCCCCCACCCCCACAACCATCTCCTCTCCTTTTCTGAGTGCTGGTCTTCCACACACCCATGAGCCACATGGCTGGGGGCATGATATCATTATCTAAACCAGTGATTCTCAAAGTATAGTCTGAGGGCCCTGGGTGTCCTTACTTGAAAAGTAGATGTCCAGCTGGGCATGGTGCATGCCTGTAATCCAAGAGACTTTGGAGGCTGAGGGAGGAGGATAGTAAGTTTGAAGCCAACTTGAGCAAAATAAAAAATAAAAAGGACTGGGGATGTAGCTCAGTGGTAAAGTTCTCCTGGGTTCAATTCCCAGTACCAAAAGGAAAAAAGAAAGAAAAGTAGATGTCCAAATACAGTATATGTATGTGACACTGTATTTTTATCATAAACTTCAAACAAAGCAACATATCACAACAAACTGAGTGCAAAAACAGATGCGAGAGTCTAGCTATCTTCTTTTGGGTTGGATCTTTAAAAAATTAGCAAAAAATGTAAAATGCTACCATCCTTTCACTGATTTTTTTTAAAATTATGGTTATTTTTTATAAAAAATTATGCCATTTATATTAACATGTAATTGATTAATTTAAAAATTAATTAATAAGTTAAAAATTCTCAGTTTTAATTACTAATTTGGTAAATTGCTAAATATAATCTGCAAAAAATAAAAAGTCCCATTGGAATTCTCAGTAGTTTTTAAGTGTAAAGGGGTCCAAGGACCATAACATTTGAGCACTGTTGATCTAAATCATCTGCATTTTCCTCAGGAAGTCCAGTCTCAAAAACTTGGAGGGGAATTGGCAGAAGATTGGTGGTTGTATATATATATCATACTTATTGTAATTATCTATATTTGAACAGAATTTTAGATAATCTCGGAATTTTTTTTAATACTTAGATATTTAAAGAGGCATCAGGTAGGTGATCAGATCAAAGGTGGAATAATATTCTAAGGTCAGCTCACCACCAAAAGCTTTCCTGATTAATCTCTGAGAAAAGAAATAACTTTTCCCAGGAACCATTTAAATTTGAGCTTTCGTTGTATTGCAGAAACTTAGCTGATCAGGAAACATGCCAAGAGTCTGAGGATACCTGTCTGTCACTGGTCATTCATGGCAGCCTGTCCCACCAGCCCCCACCCTATTGCTCACAGATACCAGTGCCAGCCCCCGCTGACCCTGCAGACCTGGCCATGCACACCTCCTCCCAACCCGACCCCCGTTCTGGTCTTGACCTGCTTACTCAGCTCTTGGCTCTGTCCCCCTGGCCTTGGCTTCCTCCTTGGCCCTCTGGCTTCTGTTTGTCCTGGAACCCAGACTTTTCCTAGTGGGCTGTGACAGGCTGCCCTAGATCTTGGTCCTATTTGCTGCCTTTGGCAGGAGTCTCTGTCCCAGCTCCAGCTCTAAAAACTTGGACATTGGCCACTTGGCCATGACTCTGGCCAGGCCAGCCCTGTCCCCATGGGATACTTGAAGGATTTGAGTGGAGATGACAGGATGGAGTGGCCTGTTTATAGAAGTCCCTCTGTGTAGATTGGCAACCAAACTGTGTTGTCATCTGTGATGGCCAAAGAGATTACTTAAAAGGGCACACCAAGGAGTGATTTGGGACCTTCCCCAGGACTCCAGTGCAGCTGGAATCATGGTGTTATTTATTCTTTGACACTGCAATTATTCTGCACAATAAAATATTTTATTTTTAAGGCTTAATTATCACTCTTGCAGTGAAATATTAT